TCTTCCTTAATTGCACAATAGATTATTCATCAAGGTTAAGATACGAAATCTCATTTTTCTCTCTCCTTCTAACTCTAATTTCAAATAAATGTTGTGGTTAAATGTTTGTAAGAAAAGGATTTATATGCCCCCAATTTAAGTTAGGGTTTCAAAGAAATCAATTTGTATAGTGTAATTTGGTCATTATTATCGTAATTAATATAAGTTATTTTAATGTTCCAAACCTTGTGAGATTTATGTTTATCCAACAAAACTTTTACGAGATCTCATTTCAGTCACTCTAGAATCGTTGCCGTTGGTAGGGTTTTGTTTACTTTGAAAAAAAAAATTTGAAATGCACTTGTTGGAAAATTGCAATCGTCGATGGAGAACTCGTTGATGATTGTTGTCGCCATCATCGTTTTGTTGTTGTCCTTGTAAAATGACTAACCAACTCTTATAGTTAACAAAAAAATTGGATGGAAGTGTAAAAACTTGACAATATGTGCTAAATTGACCATTTAAAATAGTCTTGGGGGATGAATCAGTAAAATATATATATATATATATATATTCAAGGTGTGAAGTTCGACAGTCGAAATAGTTCAAGGTGCTTTTTGGCAGTTTACCCTAAACTTAAAAGATAACTCAGGAGTTGTGAGCTGGATATATTAATACAAAAGAGATTGGTTAAGTTCAACGTTGATTAAGTCTTTTTTTGAAAGAAAAGTTGTGTGTTTTGGGAGCTGCGTTCTGCTAGTATATATACCTCTTGGTTGTTGAATCCGCACGCTTGGTGAAAGGATGGTTGAGTTTGCTATCAGTCCTTTCTTCCAAGCTTGAGCGTCTATTTGGGTAAACGCGCCTCTACCTGGGTGAAGGCATTTTTGAAATGTGGGCAACAGCTTTTAAAAAGTCAAGCTATTGGGCTATTTCGACTTGGTTAGAACAACTCCACCCATTTGCCCCTTGCCATGGCAAGGGGGGCTAAGGCAAGCACTATTCACATGATAGTGGTTGCCATTGCAAATAGTATTGTGTGTTTCCACCCGTTGCCATGACAAAGGGTAATTACTATTCATTTTTTGTTTTTTCCACAAATTTTTTTACCTTAATAATTAATTTGGATAAGATTTTTGGGTTCCTACGTGTCAATACTATTCATATTTCATAATCGGATAAAATTTTCGGATAAGATTTTTGGTTTCAAATTTCAAATTTTCAGATAAGATTTTTGGTTTCAAATTTTAAATTTTCGGATAAGATATCATGCTCCATGCCCCTCCGTTTTCAATAGAAGAAGCCATAATATGATAGAGAAAAATAAAACTTGAAAGTGAAAAAAAAAATTTGAGTAGAAAGTGAATAATAGTAGAAGGAGAAGAAAATGTATGAGGATTTGGTGTTAAAAGTGAAGAGTATTTGTTGGTATTTATAGAAGAAAAAAAATTCAGTAATTTTTTTGGTATTTTAAAAAAAAAATTTGATTTTTTGTCATTTTTTTATTGAACAAAAATTGGCTGCCGTTGGATTGGAGAAAAAAATCTGATCGGAGAGCCCAAAGTGTGACAGGTGGATTGTAGCGGCACTGTAGACTACAACGCATTGTAGCACTGTAGCTCGTTGACATCAGCACCAAAACTCAAGCCGGAGCTCGGGCCAGACTTGCCCTCGGGCCAGCCTAGGTTGCTAGGTCCCACCTTGCGCCTGAGCTTCAGACAGAGGCTTGGGCTCCTCGCTGAAGTTGCTCTTAATGACGATCTATTTATGTATATGTCTTCAACATTTACAGTGTGTTAAAAGTACAGCACGAAATTTAAAAGTACAAATGAATTCATAAATGATGGAATTTAATGTTTTAGAATTTGTAAGTTTCTTTTTTGGTTAACAGATTTAAACACGAAATTTAACGTTTATTTGTAAAGTTATTTGTTTTTAATTCTCAATCTCTTTGGGAATTTTAGAAATGATGACTATTTAAAGAGAATCTAAAGTTGGGAATTATGACCTTTAAATTTCATGTTTTTTTCCAAGCAGAATTTCTAAATTTCTTTATTTTGTTCTCTAAACGTGAGAATTGATTTATGTCAATTTAAAATTTCTAATTTTTGTCAAAATCTCATGTCTATTTCCCTCGTCCAAATCAATCAATGACTAATTAAACGCTATGACTTCGCATCACATTTGAATCATCCTTTGCTTTGTCAAGATGAGAAGAAGAGAGAGAGTAGAGATAGAGAGAAAGTGATGAAGAAAAGAAAGCAGAAAACCAAACCACAGTTTTCGAAAAAGGAATCTCCAACTGTACCAACCAAAGCCATCCTTTTCTCTCCTTTGATCTCTTCATGCATGAAACCCACGTGTATAAATAAACCTTCCCTCTTCTTATTTCTTTCAAAGACAAACCAAAACCTACTCAAATTGTAACCAATGTCACTGCAGGCTCATCGTCCTCGTGTTATCGTCAACGGAATAAGACGAATGAGAACCTTCCGTTACTTTTGGTGCCAACATTGCCAACGTACTATAAGGATTGCGTCTTCCAACCCATATGCAATTCTATGCCCATTTTGCTCAACTGAGTTCAATCATGAGCTTGATATACTAAGCCCTAGGCTTGTCAATGATCACCTTACACCGTCCCCAGCTGCCCAGTTATTGCAAACCTTGTCGCTCATCCTCGATCCAATGCACCAAAGAGCTCGAGAGCAAACAGAAAACGAAGATCATGGACGGTCTTGGATCACCCTCCAATTTGATAGACCACCTCGCTCGTCGCCGAGACAAATTGTTCCCCCTCTGGTTCCTCTAGCAAATAATAGCGAAGATATGGTAAATGATGTCACTGGGGGCACCTGGACAGTTGAAAATGACCGCCCAGGTCCCCCTCCAGCACCTGCTTCAGCCATTCGAGCTTTGCCCTTGGTGAAAGTCACGGAAGGGCAGGTGATGAACGATCCCACTTGCCCCGTGTGCAAGGAAGTGTTTGCGGTTGGTGGGGAAGTGAGGGAGATGCCATGCAAGCATCTCTACCATTCTGATTGCATACTCCCATGGCTTCACATACACAATACTTGTCCAGTTTGCCGCTATGAGCTGCAAGAAGAAGGCACTTCTTGTGACAACAATAACAATGAGTTCGAGGATTATAGTGATGAAAATAATCTCGTAGAAAACATAAATTGGTGGTGGAATCAATTCCTATGCTTGTGGCCATTTCGCGCATTGGTTAATTGGTGGCAACGTTACCTTGATAACCAACAAGGTAATTAACATTCTAACTCCTGCACATATTTGATATAATGATAACGAGTTGTAGCTTTTTCTTTGGGAACTTTTGTCGAACAGATCGTGATCTTTTGCAGACAGAACCTGGTGGACCTCTTGGATCTTTCTATAGCCAGCTTAGAGGTAAAAACATATTGCACAAACTTGTGAATATTACTTGCTTTTCAAGCACTCAATGTAAAGAAGATATTAAAGTTCAACAGGTATGAATCTATGTGACTATTATTCTCTCTTTAACCTATAATTTAATGTGTAGAAATGTTAATAGTTAACTACTTTGCTTGTTGCAGTTTCTTTTTAGGACAAATTCTGCACTTTGAAGCACTTCCTAATTTAATTTTACGGGATTTCTTTATCAAAGAATTGCAATGGTTCGATACAAATAAAAAAAATAAAAAATTTGAGGAATTGTGTTGGTTCCGACCTCAAACAGAATTGTACATGAATAAAAGAATGGCATCTCTTGCCTCATTTATAAATTGTTTCTATGTCTATCCTGTTTTTCCTTTATTTTATTTTACACTTTTAATCTGAATATCATGCAAACCCAAAAAGAATGGCATTTTGTTGACATCACTTTTATATTTTGGGTTTTGGATATTTTGGTTAAAATATTGAGAAAAAAAAAATACCAAATATATTATAACCATGATCATTTTCTTCTATGTCGCTAACTTTCATTGGAGGCAAATGTATTATCTAACTTGTCATCACCACCATCTCATTTCTTATTCCCTCTATATATTTTATTTTGAAAAATTTATATTTTAAACTAATCTAATACATGATAAGAGAATATCGAACTCGAGTTCAAAGGGACGAACACACTGCCTTAATCAACTAACCTAACTTACATTTTCTTTTTCCCTCTATATATCTTCAGTTAAAAATAAAAACCAAGAATAAAAAACAAAACAAAAATTTAATACGAGTCAAAAACAAAAATGTTATCAAATGGTAGTTAATGTATTTTGAGAAGCAGTTGTGATCGAGGGATTTTAATGGGCTACATAAACAGAGCCCTTTGGACCAAAGAGGAAACTGGCTTATTACAAACAGAGCCTCTCTCTGCCTTTGCCCTCTTTTTCCATTTTCATGGTTTGATGGTTGGTAATAGCAATAATGATAAGATCATTTGAGCTTCAGGGGCAGTGGTTCCCATTACCCAAAGTGGGTCCCACTCCAACCCCCATTCTTCACATCACCGCCGCCGCTTCTATCCGCCTGGGCCACCATCTCGCCCATCACCAATTCCGCCTTGATTCTCTTTTTCGTTCCTACTTTCAGGTATCATTTCATTCAATTTTCTTCAATTTCTATGGTGCCCTTGAGGATTAAATGTCTTAATTTGATGTAAATGGGTAATATAAAATATGGGTTTTTGTTATTTTTGGTTTATGGGTTTTCCATCTCTTGTTTGTTGTGAAATCAGAAGCTTGCTCATCTTAGTCCTCTACATAGATTGAAGAAAGGAATTAATTTTCTGCCATTGTCAAGTCATGCTTCACCTTGCTTTAGTTTCTTTAATGGGGGAGAAACTAGCAATGACTCCACAAATGAAGGGACGTCTAACTCTAAGGTGTCCAGTATAAACTTCTTCAATGGGAGGCAATGGACTAATGTCCTCCTTGCTCTTAATATCTTGTAAGTTCCATTTCATCACCTTTCCAAAACAAAGGATGAATGATATGTAGTTTATTATGAACATAATCCAATAAGAAATTTGTTTTTCCATTTGATACTTGAATACATGTGCCTCATTTTTGACCTTTTTCGAATTGAATCCAGCAATCCACTGTACAACTTATTGTTTGTTAAATCGCGTGAACAGAGTTTACATTGCACAAATTGCAACACAAGATGAGTTACTCCTATGGGGAGCCAAGGTAAGATGGCAAAACAAAATGTGGGCACATTATTTTCAGTATTGAAACAGGCACTAAGTGGATTTTTTTTTCCGTTGTTTTGATATATTTGTAGATAAATAGGCTCATCGACAAAGGGCAATTGTGGAGGCTGGTCACATCTTCCTTTTTACATGCAAATGTTGGGCACCTAATGGTATGCTTTGAATCTTACGGCTTGGCATTCTAATGTCTGCATTTCAATCTGATTTTGTCTGTTTCTGCATATGTTTTCAGGTTAATTGTTATTCTTTAAATTCAGTTGGTCCTACCATGGAGAAGATCAGTGGTCCTAATAGATATCTTGCACTCTACTTCGCCTCTGCAATTGCAAGTAACAGCTTTATGATCTATCTACAATAGCCAATAAAAATTGCTTAGCGACTAGTATTCTGATTCAGTGGTTTCGAGAAAATCAGGTTCAGCGATGAGTTATTGGTTCAGTGAGGCACCTGCAGTTGGTGCATCAGGGGCAGTCTTTGGATTAGTAAGACATTTTATTGTTTTTCCTTAGCCGGACTCTTTTTCTGGATTTCCTAGATGCACCATATAACCTGCCAGATAATCTTGGTTTAATTCATTTATGGCAATAGAGTAGAGGAATCCAGTAAAATCAGGTTCATTGTCATGCAGTCACACAAGCAAAGTTGATATTCCTGCAATTATTACCTTCTTGTTTATTTTTTCCCCATTTCTTATTCATCTGTCTTCAGAAGATTTAATGTTTTCCTTTTCCTGTATTTCACCATTTAATATATAGCTTCATCTTTTACAGTTTTCATGAAATTTGTCAGCTGCAAACTTATTAAATTTGTTTCAAAATAAACCTCTGCAACTTCTGAATATCATTTTACAGGATTTCCTCCGCCAAAAGAGAAACAATAAGTATAAATGAAAAAGGAACATTTCTGTGAGTGTCACGCTGCTTTGAGAAAAGGAAGATTAGTTCATATCTTTATATATTGAAATTTAAAAATCTGCCTATGTACCTACTCAGTGTTATGGAATGCCAAGTGAATCTTCTTTCAAGCTATTCTGGCATGGTATTGCTCTTTCTCATCTCCTATAATTAATCAAACCGCTGGCTCTGATCTTTGATTTAGGTTGGATCTCTTGCTGTCTTCGTCATGAGGCATAGAGGTCTGGTTGGACGTGGCAAAGAAGATCTACAGCACATAGCACATGTAATTGCCGTAAATATGGTATGTTCCTTCTCTGGTTACTATGTCTTTAAGTTTTGCCCAACTCAGTCCTTTATCTATCTTAATAACTTAATCAGCTCCCCTTCCAATTTATGTTGGCTGGATAAATGGATAAATAAACATAACTTTTTGTTTTTGTTTTTGTTTTTGCAGGCTATGGGGTTTTTCTTCAAAGGCATTGATAACTGGGGACATGTAAGTAGAACAAGAATGCTTGCTCTCTTTTTCATTCCTAATTAATGCTTTGTTTAGAAATTAGGAGCGTTGAATTTCAATGAACCTCCTTCACTATGTATCCCTTGATTAATTTTTGACAATAGACAAAGAAAAGTGGCTAATTAGTGTGTGAGTGTGCGTGTGGATCTCTCTCTTCCCATCTCCGCTCCCTCCCCACACTGTCACATGCGCACACTTGCGCATGTGCACGCACATACATGCACATGTGGCTAATTAGGGTTGTGGAACATTTGGACCTCATTTTTCTCTCTTTCAACTTTCAGTTGCATTTGAATTCTGAGTCCCATGGTAAAGCACAATCTTTTTTTCGTGCCAAGGATTGAGTTTCTTGATTATTTCTTTTCTGCCTTGTTTAGATTAGCCATAAAACTGTAACAAATATGAAGAGTCTCTATGGATAGCGTTGTATTGGTGAAATAATCATTTGAGGCAACCTATCTGGATCTGTTAGACGAATTGAAACACACGACCTTGCATATGGTTCCTTCCATGTCTGCACTAAAATTCCTTCTTGTTTGTGTTATCCTCATCTTTGTTTTGAGTGTGACATTTGAATCTCAGTTTGGAGGCTTGCTCGGTGGAGTTGCCACATCATGGCTTCTAGGTCCTGCATGGAAGTACGAATCTCCCTCCAGTGATGGTCGAAGAATCTTTTCTGACAAGGCTCCTATTTTCTACCTCATCAACGCAAAGAAGAGATCCTAGACTTTTTATTCCTATGGAAGCATATTGCCTTCCCTAAACTTTTTGTGATCAACAGACTTTGTAGGGAAGCAGAGCCCTTAGCCCTAATTTACTTTGGTAGGCTGTATCATCCAAGTGTAATGTTGTTTCTCACTATAAAGAAGATTTAAATTACTTTGACCTCTTTTTTTAAGTTAAGGTGTTGTAAATTTAAAAGTTCACCTCAAATTAGGCAGAGCATCCACGTTCTAAGTCACACAATATCCTGCTGCAAACGAAAACTTTTTGGGTGTGGCCACTTGACTATTGTAACATTTGCTGTTATATTTACTTATGTTAAATAATTTTGTGAACTTAAAAATTATTTTTAATTTCCTTCTATATTTTAAAAATAGTTTCAATTATTTAAAAATCCTAGAAAATTATTTTAGTATTCTAAAAATGAATTTTAGCCTCCAAACCCTTAACCCAAGCCTCAAAACTTAATCGTAAACCCACGGTAGGACTCGATTAGGCTTCGATAGTCACATAACTTTCACCTAGGGCTTTACGATTAATGTTTCGATCTCAATTTGGGGTTAGTACAACGTAACTGGACTTAACATAGACCTGTGTCGGCGAATTTAATGTTTCCTCAACAAAATAAATTCAGAAGTTTCTTGGAAAATTTGCAGCCATTATTTCTTTTAAATTTCAACTACTCTTTCTTGCGCACTTGTCTCTCTCTCTCTCTCTCATGATCTTGACCACATTTCAACAGTAATTTTTGAGCCAAAACTCACCAATCTCTCTTTCGCAACTTCATTCCGGCCATGCCAAAAATTATAGAAGACAAAGAGAGGGGAGACGATTGATCGGGATCATTAGTTACAAGTTTAGGCTCGAGTGGGATTGAATCTCTAACAGAAATTAAAGACAACCCAATACATGATCTGATCTGCAACTAATAAGAAATCAGAGGGCATCCATTATTAATGTCAATCGACAAGCAGGGAACCCTATGAGGGTTCATCAAATGCATATTTACTTGAGTTAAACATTGCAGTCAATTTGACGAGAATTAAATTGCGGGATGTCTCAAAGGAGAATACATCTTCAAGCATCTACCTTTGCTGCCGCAGATGCATAACTTACGCAGCTATCCCTCATAGTTTTGCACTGACTCAACTGCTCATACCAGAGAAAATTGATCTTTACGCTCGTTGAACAGTTCTTCAGCATCGGAACGCATTGAAATATGATTGAAAGGCATGAAATAATGATCAAAACCAATATTCCAGATGCAGTTAACTG